GCCCGCCGCGGCAGCGCCGGCGCAGCGGGTAGGCTGGCGGTAGCGCCGGCGCGCCCTGAGGGGCGCGCGCTGCCACTCCAGGCGTTGTCAACTGGAGCCGGCTGGGTGGGGTGGTGGCCCAGACCCCATCGTGTTGTGCAAAAATTCGAGGCGGGAGGTTTTGTTTTTCGCTGTTCTTGGCCTCCGGGGGCCCCTCCTGGGAATCAGGACCGGACAAAAAACGATTCAGGATGAAAAACCGGTCCCGGGGAAGGGGTCCGTCTTTTTGGGGGTCGACGGGGTAAAAACATCACGACGTCGGGGATCTGGGCTCCAGGCCTCTCAACTGGAGCCGGCTGGGTGGGGGGCTGAGGTGGCCTCACAGCCCAGCGTTTTTATTCCCTTGCGATAACGGGCGTTGCCGGGAGGGGGGGAGGTGCAGGTCAGGTCACGTTTCGCCCCAGCGTCGCTTGAGAAAGCTCAGGAATAGCGAAAGGCAGCTCGGATGGCAGATACTTGTAATTGGGGATCTGCTACGACAGAGCGCACATACCTTACTTGAAGGAATCTTCGGCAGAGCACCTCCCTTCGCCTCCTCCTCCTCCTCCTCCTCCTCTTCCTCCTCCCCGCCCCTCCGTCATCCCTCCTCATTATCGTTCCCCCGTCGTTGTCGCCGTGTTCCTGCCTCGTCGAGAAAATTGGACCCACGGCAACGAGACATGTGTCCGGTGTTTTTCTTACCAGGAAGTTGTATACACACGACGTGGCCACCCTGGGCGAGAGCTGGATACACGGGTGGCGCCATTTGTTCCTTGGGTTCGGCCCTGACTGGGCTAAGTACGCCAGCGATCCGCAGATGTATCCAGCAGCTGTCCCCCGCATGCTTCTCATGGGCTTTAGACCGCGTGTGCGTTCAGCCTCCTGGCCTGCTTGAGACACCCAGGCTGCGATCCTCGATCGTGGTCTTGTCATCCAGCAACAGGGACGCACGGCGCTGCTGGCACGGCCGAGATGGAAGCGTGCAAGGCTGTGGAGATGAGTAGGGATACGACAGGAGGAGCACGAGGCAGAGGACGGTGCCAGTTCCCCCCTCGGGCCACGCCAGGGGCGCCCAGACCCCTCCCAGAGCACCTGCCGATGACAGAAGTGTACTCGAACCGGTCGTTCCGGTCTGGCCCCGCCTCCTCCCCCGCCTGTGCTCGGCCTCCTCCTCCTCCTCCCTCCTCCTTCTCCTCCCCTCCCTCCTCCTCCTCCTCCTCCTCCTCCTCTCCTCCTCCTCCCTCCTCCTCCTCCTCCTCCTCCTCCTCCTCCTCCTCCTCCTCCTCCTCCCTCCTCCTTCTCCTCCCCTCCATCCTCCTTCTCCTCCTCCTCCTCCTCCTCATCCTCCTCGCCTCCTCCTCCTCGCGCGATCGCCCCGAGGGGCGCGGGCCGCCGCGCCCTCGGGCTGGCCGCTGGGCCCGCGAGGGAACTCCGCACGTCTGCCCCCGCCGCGCCCTGGCGTGCCCAGCCTCCGTTGGGGGAAGCGGAGGAGCTGCGGCGGAGCCCGGGTGCAGCGCTTCGGAGATGGGCTCCCGGCGGGGGCGGGGCTGGGAGCGCGTCGCCCCAAATCCCTGTGGATTGCCGGCGGGTCCCGGTAGCCCACCCCGCCCAGGGACCTGCGGGGTCGCCGTCGGGCGCCGTGTCGCGGCGCGCACAGGTCAGGGGCAGCTTCTGGGGCTCGAGGTTCTGGCTGCGCTTCGCCGAGAGCGTGCCAGATTTGCCCGGATCGTCCCGAACGGCCGCCAGAGGCCCGAGCTATGACCCGACAGCCCAGGGCTCGACCGAAACGGATGTTCTGCGATTTCGTGAACCTTTTTTTTCGCCTTGATTTTGTTTTGCAGCAGAGGAGAAACGATGACAAAACGAGGGGAAACGAAAACACAACGTAAACGAGGGCCACCGTGTCGGCATTCAGGCTGGCTTCTTCTAGGATCCACTAATGGACGCCGCGCCCGATTGTTCAAAGCGGAGTGCGCCTTGGATGGCGAAGCGCACAAGGAACAGCAGCGAGTGAACACAGCAGCAGCAGCAGACATTTTCCTCGCCGGTGGTGGCGCTGGGCCGGAGCTCAACCATGGCTGGTATGAGGGTCAGGCCAGGACGGGGAAACGCAGCTACCTCCCCCTCCCCCGTGATGGCAGTAGGCGCATCGAAGAACGAGGGGGAGGAGGAACAGGAGGAGAAGGAGGAGGAGGAGCAGGGGAAGGAGGTCTGCTTTGAGTCACGCCCAGTTGGCGCACAGATTGTTCACATGCTCCTTTCTCATGGGGAGGTGTCCTGTATAGTTAGCGTGGACCGTCTCACACTCGTGCTGATCGTTTGAAGCAGCTGCTGGCTTTCTACACCCTTCCTCGTGCGGCCTGGCCCCCCGACCTCCGAGGTCGTGATCTCTTCCGTGCGTGGGCCCCTCCTGGTTCCCGGCTCCTTCCCTGGCGCCGGCGCCCGCGACCCCTCCTCCAGAACGAGCTGTTCGCCGAGGACCGTCCAGGGGCCCACGGCAGAAGTCGAGCAGGGGCGAGGTGACAGATCGCGGCACCGGCGGGCCCGCCAGGGGGAGGCCTCCCGAGACCCAGTACGGCCGCCCACGAAGTTCCCCTTTTCGACACTGGACCCGAGGCGGGGACGTATGCTGGGTCACCGATTCTCGGGGACCTCGTCAGTCAGTGGATCTGGATAAGGACAATGACACCGAGTCGAGAGTTCACAGCCCCCCCCCCAATGGATGGGATGGGCCCCGCGGTTCCACAGCCCCCCCCCCCACATGAGAACGGGGGGACGGCGACGACGACGACGACGACGACGACGACGACGACGACAACGACGACGACGAACCACTCCACACCCACACGGGGGGGCAGGGGGTGGAGCACCGGCACCCTGCACCACGCCACGCCCACAGGGCCACGACCACAGGAGGGGGGGAAGCGCTCCCCTTCGCGAGGCCTTCGCAAGGCTCATAGGCGTACCCATCCAGCGGGGGTGGGGGAGGCTCGATCCCAGATGCATGGGGCGGGGGGGGGGGGCAACGCAAGATCACATATCCCCACATCCACCGTCCCCTGGGGCCCCTGGATCCTCAGGCAGTGAATCTGTAGATCCCCGCCTCGCACCCTAGAGATCCGAGGCTCCGAAAGAGTTGGAGCGGCCATTGTTTGGCCATTTTCGGCGTCCAGGGGCCCTCAGCGGGCTGGACCGTCAAAAGATTATACAGGATGAAATGCCAGCCCTGGGGAGGCCGTCCAGACCTCCAGGGGTCCGCGCATGGAAACAACTGGAGCGCAGGCTGTCTGGGACTAGATGCTCCTCGAAGGGGCGCGATGTGAATTCGGTCGAGGGGCACTCCCGCAGAGTGCAGGGGGCCCTCGTTCTACGTAGCCCTGCCCGGCTCGGCTCTCTCTTCGCCGGCGCGCTCGGCGGCTCCCGCTCCAAGAAAAAGGCCCACGCGCGCGGGTTGCCAGCCTCTCCCGCCTCCCCGAGGAGGAAGTTTCGTCGGGTTTCGTCGGATTCTTTCCTGCCCCCCTCTCCCTCCCTCTTCCCTCCCCTCGCTCCTCTCTCCTCTTCCTCCTCCTCCTCCTCCTCCTCTTCCTCCTCCTCCTCCTCTGACTCCTCCTCTGACTCCTCCTCCCTCCCCTCTCTCCTCTCTCCTCTCTCCTCCTCCTCCTCCTCCTCCTCCTCCTCCTCCTCCTCCTCCTCCTCCTCTGACTCCTCCTCCTCTGTCTCCTCCTCCTCCTCTGACTCCTCCTCCTCTTCCTCCTCCTTGATCCAGTTTTCTTATGAATAACTCCTCCCTGTCGCACCGCCATACGTGTCGGCAGGGCGGTCTGGGCGTTTCGCCTGAGGCTTTTCACCATGTACGATCCTGAAACTTTAAATTGGGAACAGCTCCAGGGATGGAGGGCGTGTGTTTCTCAAGATGTGGCCCTCGCTTTAGCGCCGCGCACATGCAGCTTGAGCACATCCAGCAGCTTCAAGGATGGAGGGTGGTTGTGGTTTTCAAACTGTTGGTCTCGCTTCGGCGCCGCGCACATGCGTCTTGAAGAACTTCAGCCGAGCCGAAGATGGCTTCGTGGTTCAGCGAGCGCGTGTGCCTCGTATGGTGCTACTGACAGGCATGGTGCCACATTGCAGCGCGTCGTGGAGGGCGATGTCCTTTCGAGGCGGGGCTACAGTCAACCCGCAAAATAAGGATGGGTGAATATTCCCAAGGGTACCCTTGCATCCTTGCCTCCTCGGTCTATCCTTGGCCAGTTTCGTTAGCCGCGCCGCGCTCGAAAAGCTTCGAAATGGGCGTCCAAGGCCCTAGCATCCTTATCGAGCATCCTCATGGTACGGGCCGACTGTATCGCTCCAGCACATGTCAATCATAGTTTGCACATGCTTCAATGTGTGCAACAGCTACTCGGAGGGACGGCTCCTTCTAGAAGCGGTGGTGCCGCCGATTCGTTTTTTTGTTTACATCAGGAGGGGAAGAAACGCACAGACACAATGAATCGACGATCCCCATGCGAGTAGTGGAAAGTATGGGAAGTGGGGGTAGTACGAAACTCTAGAAAATATTGAAAAAGATCGGGAGTCTTGGGATTTGTGCGTATGTATTAGTGTGTCCCTGGGCCCCTTCACTTTAGCTTTACGGCCAGAAGCATTAATTCCTTGAAAGACATACACGGAGGGAGGGTAGCTCCTTACTAACACGAGCGCAGCTTACCTCTTCGCACTCCTCGAGCACCTCGTAGAGAAAGGAGGTTGCGAGGCGGGTCTGTTCGAAAGAGCCCCCTCCAGAATGTCAAACCCATGAGGCGCTTGACTTCCACGGGGGCCCGATACAAAGTGTGCAAGAATGCGTGTTGAGACTTATGAGGCGGGGACTTGGGAAGTAGGGTGCCACAGCACGGATGATGCGCCTTGGGCGTGTTATTGTCATTTGTGTCCTCCGGTTCTTGCTCCTGGTCATCTTCATCCTGCTCCTCCTCCTCCTCCTCCTCCTCCTCCTTCTCCTCCTCCTCCTCCTCCTCCTCCTACTTCTCCTCCGCCTTACACTCAGCCTCATCATGCTCAGCCTCCCTCCTCCTGCTCTTCACTGTTCCCTTCCCCCTGCCCTCCCTCAACCTCAAACCTTGTCCTCCTCTCGCCACTCGTCGCCCTCTCGCACCGCCTGCCCCCCCCGCCTCTGCGGCCAGGAGGATGCGGTCCACCTTCGAGCCTCCTGGCGGACCCTCTGCGGCGCGGTCCGGGGAGGGGGTGGGAGGGGGGGATGGGGACGGAGATGGCCTCTGGGATACAGTGGAGACCCGTGCCAAGAAAGACCCTACCCGCCTCCATGGTGCCCTGGGCTTCTTGGGTTCGGATGGTTTCGCCATGGAGAGTGGTGACGTTCCGT